GGTGAAGCAGGTCAGCAAAAGGAGGAAGACCCTGGACGAGAAGGATTGGCACAAGGGCTGCAGCAATGGGCTCAAACATGACAACGGGGCGGAGGGCGTGGGACCAGGCATCGGAAGCAACTCGACAGCCCTCGATCACAAGCGAAGGACGAGAAACGTGCAGGAGGCACAGCTTTGTCTAACAGGAGAGCGAGGTGAGAGCAAAACTGCCTGCCTCCACACCTCTCGTAACACGTATAGTGGAGGATGACAAGAAAGCCAGAACTTGCAAACTTAAGGGGCCGGATAGTAAACATTTCTGGTTTCGCCAGCCTGTGCACCCACTCCGTCCCTGCGCTTCGAAAGCAGCCACAGGACATTTGTACAAAAGGGGACTGGCTCTGCCCCAGAGGCACCTCTTCCGCACACGGGAACGGGCGCTCCACGACTTTTAATGCATATCCTTGCATTAAAAAACAAAACAAACTATTGACAGATACAAGAACCTACAACGAGGAGGCATCTTGAAAACGGTGCTAAGCGAAAGGAGTGCCTCACAAAGAATTAGGTATTATATGATCCCATTTATATACAATCTGGACAAGCAAATCTACACAACAGAAAGTAGATTAGTCGTTGCCTGGGACCAGGAAGGTTGTGTGGGGATTGGGAGCACCAGCTGAGGGGCGCGAGGTTTCTTTTCGGGTGGGGGGAGGCCTGGGCACGATGAAAATGTTCTAGAATGGACTGCCGGGATGGTTGCACAAATCTATAAATATACTAAAAGCCACTGAATTTGGACATTAATAGGTTTAGTGTGTGATCTATGAATCATGCCTGGATAACACGGTTTTTAAGATTATAAAAACCAACAAGAAAAGAAAAAAAAGAATATAAAAGCCATGCATAGCTCACAGGTCCGACGAACACTGGCTGGCCAGGCTGGACCTGGCCCGAGAATGGAGTTGGCCACAGTTGTGATTACCTCTCAGAGGTCTGGTTGGGGTCTGGCTCTGGGCTCCAGTGATTTCCTTGCCTCCCCCCACCCAGGGTCAGCACGCTTTGATGCTGGGGGGGCTCGGAGAAGCCTCCTCTCCCATGAAGTCTTGCCTAACCCCCTCTAAGGCACTTTATCTGTCTTCACTTACTGAGCACCAACAATGGACCGGACACTGTGTGGGCCACGTTAAACGGAACGATCCACCTTCATCCTTCCTCCTCACATCTCCACGGATCGGGGCGCAGCACTCCCACCCCCATTTTACAGACAAGGAAACCCGAGATTCCAAGATCAAATACACCAGCCCAAGGTCACCTGCCAGCAGTGGCGAAGGCATGGAGCTGGGCATGTTTACTCCCTGGCCCTGCAGGACTGACAACACCAGGCGCGTGGGTCAAGCACTCATCCCGAGTGGCGCCACCCGAGCAACGCCCTGCAAGACCTGAGCAATGAATGAAGGGTCGCTGGCCCACAAGGGAAGGCGGAGAGCTCAGGGCTTGCTCCAAGTGGGGAAAAGGGGCCTCCAGGGCGCGGGGCAAGCTGCTCCGGGGCGACCGGCCCGAGGCCCGAGCTGCCCCAGGAGGCGCCCGTGGGGCTCAGGTGAGGCTGAGCCGAGCGCCGGCTGTAGGTAGCGGCCTCGGAGTCGGCGCAACCCGGGAGGCAGCCCTCCGCTCCGAGCGCGTGAAGGCAAACCGGCGGAGGGCCGCGGGCTGCCGGCGCGGGGCGGCGGGGCGCGAGGTCCAGCTCAGGGGAGGCCGCCCACCGGGCTCCGCGGCCCGCAGGCCCTGCCGCGCCTCCTTCGGCCTCCGCACGCCGCGCCAACCAACGCACCTGGAGGATTGACGTTGTCATTTCATCTCCTGGATCCGCCCCACACCCCGCGGTGCTGCTGGTGGCCTCGGTCCGGCCCCGGAGAGCCGAGGTGCTGGGTCCGGCGCGGGGAGCCCGGCGGGTCGGGGCTGGGCGCGGGCAGGGCGGCCGCTCGCAGCCGGAGCCGAGTCCTAGGGCGAGCGAGGAGCGCAGAGCGCGGCCCAGAGCGGTCGGCCCCAGGGCGCGCGGCTGCCTACTGGCGGCCCCGGCCGGTATTACAAGTACCGCTCCGCGCTGCTGTCGACTGACGCCTGGGCAGCGAGAGCAAGGAGAGGGCGGGGCGGACAGGGGGCGTGTCCAGGATAGGGTGATTGCCGAGGATGGGATAGGGGGAGTGTCCGGATGGGACAGGCGAGTTGGGGCGAGGGCTGGGGGCGGAGCCATGGCTGGGGGTGGGGCCAAGAGAGGTGGGCGAGGCGAAACCAAGGGGCGGGAGTCCCTGGACCCCTGTGGAATGAAAATTTTGCAACATTTGGGTAGAATGCTCCTTAAAAGCAAAAATAGGGTGCCTTCTCGTATACACCGTGGACGAGACCAATATCTGGAGAACAACATGATACTTGAGGAAATGGAGGGTCGGTGGAAAAAGAGGATTGCCCTCAACAAGATGGACACTGGCTGCAAGAGTGAGATCAAAAGGGCAACGACTGTGAAGGCGGCATAGGGCAGCCTTTCTCACAGTAAACATAGCTCCCCAAAGCTTGGTTTCCTCTCCTCGAAGTAGGGTGGAACTCGTAACCCTCGTGTTGACTTCTAACAACCCTATAGAACTGCCGCTTAGGACAAGACTTGACATCTTGGCAGAAGCAGGCTGCACCATTCTCCGGCTGGGTGCTTCAGCAATTGGGCCACCAGGGCCTGAGTTCTGGGGGTAATGAATGAGCTACCTTCTAAGTTTCTGTGAACTAGGTGAAGGTTTATAGAGCAGATCGTTTTATCTTCAAGTTTTATTTCAATTCATCCATTGCAATCACTTTCTTCTTTTATAACCCTGGATCTTTGAAGTTTTTTTGATCTCATACTTTTTGTTTTGCTTTGGCATGGGTTTTAGCTCAATTCCAGCCTTGAAGGGTTGTAGTCTTTGAGGTCCCATCTATGCCTTTACAACCAGCAAGGCTGGTCTCCTTTATGACTGATAATTTCTCATTTTTCCACTGAATCTAGGGCTTTGCAATGTGATCTTTTCAGAACAGTAGGTAGTGGTAGCTGGGAACGCCCTAGTTTTTCTAGTCTCAATGGTGTCTGGACTGATTAAAATTGAGGGGCATGTGGGGGACCAGCCTCCCCACAACCGAAAGGGTTCAAGGGGGGGGTTGTGTAGTTGAGGGGTGCACTAAAGAGACACAAGACAAGGCATGGAAGGGCTCACCTCTTCCATGGTGACCGGAACCATTATGAGTCAGTAATATATTCCAGGTATGAAAGCCACAGTAAGCACATGCATAACAAGGGGCTCTATTAGGGCAGCGGTTCCCAACCTGTAGGTCATGACCCCTTTGGGGGTTGAACAACCCTTTCACAGGGGTCGCCTCAGAATCCTGCTTATCAGGTATTTACATTATGATTTGTAACAGTATCAAAATTAGAGTTATGAAGTACCAATGAAAATAATTTTAACATGAGGGAACTGTATTAAAGGGCCGCGGAATTAGGAAGGTTGAGAACCACTGTATTAATGGGATACACTTAACATGAAGGAGAGGAGCTTGGGGTATACACACAATAGGAAGGGGAGGTACTAGAGGCATACATGTGACAGGAAGGTACATATGCAACAAGATGGTGGCCTAACCTCAGTGGTCTTAGAGCTGGTTTGAGCTCTTCTCCAGGGGAACAATCTATGAGCCTTATTAGAAGGGAGTGGGCCATATTTAGGGTGGGGCAGATGGTAGGGTCTGATTGCTCTCCATAGCAGACAGCCTACAGGCAAACAGCCTTTAAGCATCTGACTCTCAAGCTTATAGAGTATCAACCATGTGCTTGCAAGCACCTAACAATTAGCATTATGGGGGGACACCGTGGGGAGTAACTTTTAAACTTAGGAGAATGTGAGTGGGAGGCATCTCCAACCTCCGAATCTGAAGGTCTCCCTCCACAGGAGCCCCGGCCTCCCAGACTGACTCAACATATGAACATAGAGAATTTGTTTGCAGACTCTCTCCTCTGGGTTCTGCTTCCCATAGGACATACAGAAACAAGTAGTCCAAAGGATTAATTGGACAGATTCATGCCGAGGTTGGTGGGTGCAGGTTTGATGAATAACACCATTATTTAGTGCTAGGATCTTTCCACCCCAAAATGCTAATAAAATGCAATGGGTGAGAATGATGGCAACAAATGTACAAATGTGTTTAACACAATGGGTGTATGTGTGGATTATGATAAGAATTGTATGAGCCACCAATAAAATGGTTTTAAAAAAATGCAATGGGGAAAATAGTGGAGACACTAACTCCAGAGTGATCAAAGTTGGTGTCACCAGTGATGGAATGGGGTGACATCATGTGCCTCCAGATGATACTGAGAAGGGCACACTTCCGTGGTATTGTTGCCCAGAATTTGATCGTGACTTGATCCATACTAAGATCATATGGATGGAAGCAGTGGAAGGTCCTCCCGCAGCTTGGTAACACTTTCAGGGACATGAGAATTCAAGGGAGAGGGATTGTGTCTGCTAGAGACTGAGGTAAGAGTAAGACAGTCTCACTGGATAGGACCCTGGGGCGACGGAGAGGAGGCGTCCTGAGCGGGCTGCATGGCAGTGCTGTACCAACGTGGACAGCCTGCCTGGGAGAGCTGTATATAGTGGCAGTGTAGGAGTGCAGGTCCACACTAGAGGATTACAGACAGGCTTTCATGCCAGCACATGAGTAAAATGTGATAAAATGCTAACACGTTGGGAATTCTGGTAAAGGGGATGTATGAGTTTTTATACAGTTCCTGACATTTTTCTTGCAGCTCTGAAACTATTCCAACACACATAAAGAGAAAAAACAAATCTAAAAGCAAATTTTTTATTTACAGTATAAAGGTTACAAAGGTATATATGTATTTATATATATAATACCCTTAAGTTACAAATTTTCATTGTAATGTACAATGCTAAATGTTGATAAGCAACTCAAAGGGAAGTGTTGTCTATGCATCTCTATAGAATACACATAAAAAGCCTTTTTTTTTTTTTACACCATGGGGTTTTTTTATTTGCCAGCTTGGTGACACAAGATTTCAAATTTAAATCTTAACTAAGATTTAAAAATAAGATATGCCTAAGTGTAGGGTTTTAAAAATAAGAGAAAACTCCATAATGTTGCATACTTTTAATTCTTTGTGGAAATACTATTCTATATTTCTAAGCTTCAATACGTAACAGAAACCAAAGTTGTGTGGGATGGAACATGTGCGTGGGTATGAACAGAGTTTGTGCAGATTAGCCAGAATGAGTAGCAGTTATTCTCCGAAGGACTTAGGGATCTGGTACCAAAAGGGAAATAGATTCTTTGAGCATCAAGGTTTTTACAACGCTGAACTCATTCAACAGATTGTAAACCTCGCTTCAGAGTCCTTACTTGAGGACTGTTTCGTATGTTAGGGGGAGATTTGCTACAGGATGACAAGAATACCATCAAAATTGGTGATTACAGTTCAAATCATTCACTTTCCCCCAAATGTTTGTAAATTCACAAAACAGAGGTGAAAAAACATAACTGACACCCATTCTATTGAGAAGAGACATAAAAGTCTGAAAGAACAGACAAGATTCTCCTGTGCCGCTGCGGGAGTAGTCATTAGCACCTGATTGTAAAAGGGTATGTTAAAGTACGAGCCAAGAAGCTGAAGGCATGATCTAATTTTTCTGTACAATTCCAGGACACTTAAAAAAAAGCGGGAGACCCTCACTCGATATGACTCTGCCATACATGCCACTCCGGTCACAGACAGCTCAGGTACCTTTGGGGTGGCCCCAGATGTTGCCTAAAAGGCATCCTTCGTCAGAAGGATGGCAAGCTGCAACTCAGGAAAAATTCAATCAGCTTCCGTTATTTTTGGTGTGTGTTTGTGCTCTTTTTGTTAAATTTGAATGCTAGAGTGCTCTAGAATAAGTGAAATTGTGTTGTTGTAAAAAAATTTCACTTTGATTCACCACTTCTGGTAAATCAAGTCCTACCTGTGTAAGAACTTCCAGTAAATGAGATGTACAAAGGACATTCGTGTGGATATGAAGGGGTAGGTTTTCAAAAAGGGGGTAGCTGAAATATATATTTAGCTTGCCGTTTGTAGATTAAAAAAAGAGAAGCATTTCTTTAAGAAGATCCATCACTGATTCATCTTTTTAATACTGCTACTCTCCTTTCCAAACAGTGGATCCACTTTCCAAAAAGAGGATCAGTTGTCACGCAGAGTGGTAATTTACGATGCCACCCCACCGTCAACCATCTCCCCACCAGACCATCCTGTGATGCTCATCATTAACTTTAATCATAGAATAGCATGTGATAAATATAGTTGTAAGCTGTTTACAATGTATCCTTTCTTAGATTATATCAATACTAGCAACAAAGATTATTTTGTAAAATCTTTCTACATTAGTAACTGAGTGGAAACCATTTTTTACTTTTCTCCTTTTTCCTTTAGTTACTACTTCATTCTCTTAAGTAATTGATACAGGTTCACATGTGCTAATTACCATAGTATTGTAGCTAAGACACCAGAAAACTAGAATCAGTGACTACAAAAACACCAGCAGCAACAAACACAACAGCGGGCTTGTAGTTTGTGCAGATGAAACCACATGATCCCAGCGAAGGTCACTGTCATTGGGGAACAATGACAGCGCTGACCTTCGCTCAGTAAAAGGTTCAAAAAGCAGATTGGCATGAGTTTATCCTTGAGGTGCACCGGCAATATAAACTGAGGGTGTAACTATGGGGATACTCAACAAGGATGAATGAATGTTTGCTGAAGCACTGCGTAAACATGTTATAGAGCCATTGTTGGTGTCACCCCTGCACCCCCTTAGTGCTTCCCCTGTTCCCAAGCTAAACTAATTAGGCATAATAAGATCAAGTATAATGAAAAGAAAGACTCATTTAAATGTGCCAGGAATAGAGCCAAAGACTATAAGCACCTCTTTAAGCACGTTCCAGTTTGCCAGGTCCAGAGAAACAGAACTACAGGCCTACTTTGGTAGAAATACAAAGTGGCTGAATTGTAATTATCACTGATTGACAAATGAACAACATGCCACGATTGAGGAATGATGGCTTGTACATATGCGACCTGAAGGCAGGAACTTCCTTTGGGATCCTTCAGAGAGCCTGGTGCTGTGCTGTCTATCAATACGCTCTTATTGAAAGACAGAAGACACGAATCAAAACCATTCATGAGACTCACAGTTTCAAAATTTCTTCCATGTCCCCTCAGAATCTTTTCTGCAAAAGAAACGTCCATTCTTTGGAACATGGGCTAGGATCAGTCGGGTTCCAGAGGCATATTGTGTGGCTTGGGTGAAGCGAGACTCAAAACCATAGAAGCTACTCAGAAATCTACCAGGGAGGGCACCCAGCCTTGCAATATAATGAAGTTCTCCGTCCTCGTTGTCTGGTGTTAACCCGAGTAGTTGGGGAAGAAATTCAAGGGTTATGGCTCATTTGGTGGATTTTATGGAATATAATAAAATGCTCACCGAGCAGCAGGCACTTACCTGCATTGCATCAAATACAGGTTCACTATTAAAATGAAAGTGTGCTTCAATTCAGTCACCCAAAGTGGGAAGGGAGAGGTGGCAAGAGGTTAAGCTCAAGTTTATCAATTTTGAAACAAAATACAGGATCTTGTTAAAAGAGTCTTTTGAGTTAATACACAGCAACCCTTCTTGTAGTTGGCAGCTTACCAATAGGGTGTACAATCAACAGCTTGTTAGACACAGGAAAACAGACGCATTCTGTGAGCTTCCTTATTGTACCTTCCCTTAACTTGAACAGGCGTGTATCACTGATCTGCCTGATTTTTTAAAAAGGATTTTAAATCAGCTATGCAAGCAGCCTATTACTAGTGTGAAGTACACGTTACTTTGTATCATTACAGCACAGGAATTCCTATGAATTCCTATGTATTCAAAAATACATAATTTCATTATATGGCATAACTATTTGGGAACTGTTACCATAAATATCTGTGTGTCTGTCTATACAGCCAGCAAAATGAAGGAGCTTATTAAAAGAAGAAAAAGAAAGGAAGAAGAGAAAGCATATGGCTGCTGTCATTTTTTTAAAGACAGCAGAGGGGAAGTGAACAGTCAAAGCCGCTCTAGTTTACCATGCAGTCAACCCAGGGGCAGACAGACGATGGAGCAGACAGCTGCTTCTTCTACTCTTGTTGTCCAGAGGGACTGGAGTGTTCGGAACAGGAAAGAAAACAGAAACAAATCCACCACAACAATTCAAGTGTACTGGAAAGAGATTTCCACACTCAAGGTAGACAATAATACCACTGGCATGCAGTATCATACCGAACAAAGAAAAAGCATGAATGTGACCAGTCACATTCAACTTAAGACTCTTAAGAAGAACCCACAATGTACGTACGTTTCTCTCCAATACATAGCTATTCAGATCTTACCAAAGCACTTTGCTTTGGGGACTAAACAGATCTGGCACTTTCACTCCTTCATTCCCTTGCACACAGTGGCACCTCCCAGTCGATTCTGACTCTGAGATCCCACAGGACAGAGCAGAACTGCCCTATGGGTTTCTGCCCACCTTGAGTGGAAAGCGTCATCTTTCTCTGGATTTCCTCATTAGGGATTGAAAAAAGAAGACCTTTGGCTTTCTAACCAGCCATTTCAATGGTGACCTCAATCACTGATGGCGGCAATGTGGAAACAGAGGCTGGGTATTTGAACCGTTGACACAGTATGTACAAGCAACAGCTTACCCCAGTGAAAAGAACAACAGAACCCAGTGTAAGGGTTTAAGATAAGGTACAAGAAAAAAGCAGAGAAAGTGCTTAAGTCTATAGGTCTTCCCTGAAAGCTTTTAAAATGTGTAACTCTTTAAGCAGGTAGGGCTCTAAAGAGAATTTGCATAGCAGCTTGCAAGGTAATTTGCATTAAAAAATGTGAACCAAGATTCTCCCATGTTTCTGAAAACATACAGCCACGACCATGTGCATAGAAATTAAACAAGAAGACCTGGAAGTTCTCTCGGAATGTAAACAATCCACTTCTTAAAAAGAGGTCACACACTTCTTGCCAATCAAAACCATTTACAGTGAAACCTGTTTTTCCGGGAGAAACATTATCTTGCCTAGGTTCCACACAGCTTATTAACGTTTTTGTTTGTTTGTTTGTTTTTTTAAAAGAAAAAAATTTGGCTTGTCAGCTAAGTGCATTTAATGAGCTGAAAAAAAGCTGTTACCTTTTTGCTGAGGTGGATAAGTAAAGCAAACAGTCAGCAAGGGCTTCAGCCGTTTGTTAAGAGGCTTTTTTCACTTATAAAAATATAAGAAATAAATAATTCAATATCTTCTAAGTGCGCTAATTTTCAGTCGCCAAGTTCCCAAGAGTACAGAAGACAGAGACAGGCACTAACAGAGTTTACCTGGCTGAAGAAGTGCTAAACCATGGCTTTCAAATGACACCGGAACTAGTCTTGACTGCCTATGTGTCCCAACATTTAACCCGAAACTCTCGTCTATTAGGTAGTTGAGTTTACAGTTGCAATTAGCTAATAAATACTGTATAAAGGATTTCTTCATATAAAATACTGGATGCGAGTTTTCAGGTAAGGTCCATTTTGAGGACTCTTGAAGGAAAGAACTTACCTTTTCCAGAAAAAGAAAAAAAACTGAGCCTTCCTAAGTTTTTATGGAGAGAGGCCTGAAGGAGACGGGGAAGAATGGTCACACACTAATTGGCCAATTATGGGCATTTGTGTGCGTGCATGACAAAGTCGCCCATCTGCCTGAGGGGACACCTTGCTGCAATTTCCTCCCACTCAGCACACCTGAGAGCCATGACATCCTGCATCATGTTCATCATTCCCAGTGAAACACACACACACACACACACACACACACACACACACACACACACACACACCTTGCTCTATGAAAGAGGTGGGGTATTATAAATGTCCATTTTCAGTTATTTGAAAATAATTTGCCAGGTTTTGGCATCTAAATACAAAATACACATTTATCAAGGCTGTGCCATTCATAAAAAGACACTTCACTGTGGTTCCCAAGTCCCACGACACACTTCGTTGGAGAACAACCTGGCATCCCACGAGGAGAAGGCTACTCATGTCTGGCCCCCAAGCGGCTGCAGGGGCCTTGCTCTCGGGGCTGCTGGAGGACAGCGCAAGCCCTCTCCGACAATTTCCGTTTCGCATCAAGACAAACATGTTCTTGTCTCCTTTTTAATTTCTGCATGTGTTAGTGAATCATAGCATCCTTTTGGGCCTCCTCGCATGCCTGTCGCCAGCTCCATGCACTCGGGGCAGCTTCGGGGCCACACCCACAACTCTACTCACAAGCCTGTCATTCCTCACGCTCCGCCCACTGGCCAACCTGCACTCGCACCAAGCGGCTCAAGTTGTATGGTGTGTGATTCTCTGTCTATTTGAAGTGCCACCCTCCAAAGTGTTCAGCCCCCACCACACACCTGTAAGCCCCTCCTGCGTGTGGGCTAGTAAACAAGTGCCCCTCGGAGCCCTGCCTTCAGAGAGCATGAAGAACATTGTGAAGATGAAAGGACTGTGCTGAGCTCCAAGTTTGATACAGACATGACACTACTGTGTAAATGCTTTTCATACCGACTTCATAATGACAGAGATGAGTGGAGTGTGATTCTCTGATAACCTCTACTGCTGCTATGGCCTAGTCATGCCAGGGAGGAAGGTTCAGTAAGACCCAGGAAGCTGTACCAGGCCTCAGCACTGTGTACAAGCTGGGAGCCCTACTCAGCTGCCGCAGAGTTGGGGAGGGAGAGCCAGGGGCCGGCCTGGGTTCACATATCATGTCTGTGTGGACAAACCAGCTTTACCCACAAGGCCTACTCTTTTAAACACGCTTTCTCTTCTGGCTTGGTCTTTCTTATAGGGATTTGCCAGCTCGAGAAGAGAGTTAAGAGAAACACACCTCCCATTCCTCAAAACTAGGAGAGAGGCTGTCCTTGGAACGGCAGTGACATCTAGTTATTCAAACAGTCAACAGTAAAGCTCCACTACTCCTAACCAAAGGCACATTTGGTATGCAATAAAAAAATGGCTTCGGCTAAAATGAGAACTGGCTCGCGAAATCAATCTTCTAACACCCCTGGCTCCTACCTAAGATGAAGATTAGGAAAAGCTACAAACCAAAACGTGCCTTGCAAAGCACTGGCTCCCACCCTGCACGTGAACGTGGCCACCACTGGGACACGTGTGCTACAGTGGGAAATGATGGCCAGGACAGGGCAGGAGCCAGGCGAGATGGAAGGGCACTGCAGGGCGGCACAGAAAAGGACCCAGTGAGGCCAGTGAAGTGGAACAAGCACCACCCACAGGAAGCACAGGCCACTACACACAATTCCCCGGGGAGGGACAAGACAGCAGGCTAAGCCGCACACGAAGGACACCAGGAGGAGGAAAGAAGCATGTGAGCGTGTCGAAAAGGAAAACCCACGCGCCACCCTCTAACAAGGGAGGTGGACAAACCACATCCGGCCACTACAACGTCAATCAATAGCTTCATGCTGGAGCTTTTTAGGGGTTCTAGCATTTCTGGTCCAGGTAGCTTGTGGAAGGTTGGCTCTTCTCGAAAGACGGTGTATGGGTCAGCAGTGATTGTGCAGGTCCGTGTCAAGGCACTGTGCTGGAGGAGAGAGCAAAGAGCTGTCGATTTTGTGCTTTTTTTTTTTTCCTTCTTTCTTGAGATGGAAATACTTCTTGTGACATTCAAGGCTCATTTCTGATTCCCTGCTGCTCACACAAGCAGTCCCATGCGCGTGACTTTGGCTGACAAGAACGTGTGCAACACGAATACAATCGGCTTCGGGCAAGAGTGCAGGTCCACGGTCTGCGGAGAAAGGACATCCATGGTCATGACCACAGCCAGGAGCGTTAGTTAGTAGACAGGTCTGTCTGCACGTGACTTTCTGCTCTGCCAAAGGAGCCGTGAGAAGGAACGTGCCAAAGCTGTGGGACCTCTTGAGAACTTTAAAGCCAAGAACCACAGTGTACTGTGAAATAAAGCTCCATGTCCTATTGAAACACGGGGGTGACCTCTCCCATCTACAGTTAAGATACCATTGATGTGGAAAAGTAGAGCATTTAGTATCAATAACCAAACCAAACCCAAGCCCACTGCGGTCAAGTTGATTCCAACCCAAAGGACAGAGCAGAACTACTCCTTAGGGTTTCCAAGGCCGTAATTCTTCACGGAAGACAGCCTCATCTTTCTCCCATGGAGCAGGGTGTATGTTTGCCAGCAGCCCCAAACTTATCCCACTGCCTAGCCAGGGGTGCCTAATGCATCAGTAAAGAAGCATATATCTTATTCTATGAGAAGTGTAACATTCTCTATGATTTTGTGAACTACATTTCAAAAAAAATTTTCCCTTGGAAATTAAATAAGATGTACAGGATTTAAAATAATGAGGAGGAACATTCCATATGGAGACTGTTCATTGCAATTACGTGTCTCTAACAACACGAGTCAACTCAGCTGAAGCGTGACCATTATGAGAGTGACTTCTGACACCCTTTCTTTGTAGGTTTGTGGTGGGAACAATAGGCTGGGAGGCTATTGTAACCTCCCAAGCGCAGAACACCAATCTGGACAGTTGCCACCAGATGACTAAGAAGCCTGGGGTCAGGCTGCACGAGTTATCTGGTTAGCCAACCATGAACACTGAAGATAGAGACCATGGATTGGGTACAGTTAATCACACTTTTGAAAAACAGACACAAATGATAGAATACTAATTTCATTACTAAGATTTGAATCTACTTACTGTAAATCAAGGGGCTTCTAAAAGTTTGTGGAAAAATTCCAGTATCTCTCCATTTCACCTTTCCATGAACTTTTAAAAGCCCCATTCATATAAATAGGTAGGTATAATCTAACATCATGCTTGTTAAATGGCAACTGCTATTAATTATTGGTGAATTTAACAGAGAAGCATTTCACTCGCACTAATGCCTCTAACTTAGAAAATTCCCCAGTCCATGGCCTGTCTATAGTTTCCTAAACACAGGTTCGTTTAAATCAAAGCTTTCTGAAAAAAAGTGGCATTGACTTCATGCTGACTCACAGCAACCTTACAGGACAGGGTAGAACTGCCCCGTGGGTTTCTGAGTCCATAATTCGCTTTTTTTTTTTTATATCATTTTATTGAAGGGCACTTACAGCTCTTATCACAATCCATACATCAATTGTGTCAAGCACATTTGTTGCCATCATCATTTTTAAAACATTTTCTTTCTACTTGAGCCCTTGGTATCAGCTCCTCTTTTTATCTTCCACTCCCACCCTCCCACCTAAGAGTCAGTAACTCCTTATGGGAGTAGAAAGTCTCCTCTTCCTCCTATGGATCGGCTAGTGATTTTGAACTTCAGACCTTGCTGTTAGCAGCCACCAGGGCTTCTTCCAAATAAGGCCTCTCGCCAGTTTTCCATGGGGTTGAACGAAACTCTTTAGGGTGTCCTCAGGTCTGCGTTTCCAAACGTACATGTGCTGTGATTGTGAGAGTGGACATTTACCTGTGAACACTGAACTACTGACTTAGGTCACGGAGACAGGGCAGCAGTGTACTCAGTTACTATGTGTGTCATCTATATAGTCTCTCGGGGAGTCATGACCTCCTGGAGATGTTTTCTTTGAAAGACAAGGAAGCCAACAAAGGTGGCTCTATGGGTAGCTCTCCATCTTTTTCCTATTCAGCATATTTCTGTTACAGCCAAGTCACTCTGTTCCTCTCAATGCTTATCCCAACAAAGAGCTGGGTATTAATTAATAAGGTCTGCTAGTTTTAGAATTTTATACCTTATTTTTGGTAAACATCAATTTCTTAAAGGGGCTATCTTTTTATTTCTAACACTTAAACAAAACCATTTTTTTAAAAGTGAATGCCTCCGCCCCCTAAAGAGGGAATGGTTTCCTAACATGGGGAAAGGAGTGAAACAAACAAACAAAACAGCACCACACAGCAGAACCTCATAAACCAAACGCAGCACCAGCCTCAAAACAAGAATAATTTCCTGGGTCAAAGGCAATGGCAGTCCCTGGTTTTCTATACCAGGAGGGAGGAGGAGGAACACTCACTCACTCACTCACTCACTCACTCACTCACACACTCACTCACTCACTCACTCACTCACTCACTCACTCACTCACTCACTCACTCACAACAGGGCTTTCCGAGCCCTCTTACCAGTTCTCCCTCGGGGCCACCAAAGTCCAAGTAGAGATTTCGAATGCCATCATCGGCAGACATTTTCAGCCTTTCGAAAGGGTAGCGGTACAGGATGCTGCTGGTGCCCCCACTCTCCCTGGAGATAGTGAACCCGTTTTCATAGTGGACTGTGAGCTTTAACTCTTGGCTGTTTAACGTGCAGCCTGTGGAACACACACACAAAAGTGCCATTAGGAAGGCTTCTACTTTAAAGAATGGAAAGATCATGGAATTTCCCCCCTGGCTTTCTGGTTCATCTTTGTTACAGGAGCCAGGGAAGCTCAGTGGACCAAGAGTGGCCTGGCTCTTGACTTCTGACTTGAAGAAGAAAAAGAACCTGCCCTGGAGGCTCCGTGAGGCCCAGAGTTGATTCTAGGTTACGGCCACTGCAGAGAGGCAGCCTCCTTGGTGTCATATTCTCAGTGTGGTTTGACAGTCTCATTTTTCCCTTTTAAGATTTTTAGCTCTCTATATGTTCTTTATGTTGTTGCTGAGACACACACCAATTCGGATGTCCACATGAACCAGTCAGCGAGACTGCGTCCATTTTTGAGTCCTGCAACCCTGCCTACCCGCCCTCCTTCTCCAAGTTGTTCCTTCTCCATTAATGTAAACGTACTGCCTCCCAATGTTTCTATCCAAACTTTCGAGTTGTCAACCTCCTCATTTGGATAGCTTCAGGATGTGAGGGTCAGAGGAATTAGGGTGCCCCTAATAGGTGGGACCCAAACCTGTGTTCCCGGCTCCAAAGCTCATGCTCTTCTCCCACTACTCCAGGCTGTTTCTTGCAGGGCCAGTTCAACTCAGGAAGTGCCTACGATGACTGGCCCCAGGCTCCCACCAGGAGACACTGCCTTTTCTCGGGCCAGGGATATTTTCACAAAGCTATGTGTATATATATGTATATAAATAGCTTTGCTAAAATTCTGTACAATTAGGAAACTTGTTAGAAAGTTTATATATACACATTCACTGCACCACTAAATCCATTCTGACTCTCAGTGAGACCCTGTCGGGCAGAGTAGCGTTGCCCCATGGCTTTCTGAGATTAAATCTTTACAGGAGCAGAAAGCCTCATCTTTCTCCAGGCGAGTGGGCTGGTGGTATCAAACTGCTCACCTTTTGGCTAGCAGCAACTCTTAACAAAGCCAGGAGGAAATAAACGTTCATTAACTAAAATGATTGTTACACTCCTGACTTCTGAATTTTATCTCTGGGAAAATGCTGCCTTTTGCTGATTTCATATAGTTGTTTGTTCTAAGGGGTGCTTACCTTGCTCATGTCATTGTTAAGACTGTGGTCTTATTATCTGGATGGAAGCTGAGTGCTGGGGGTGAGTTGTTCCGAACCTGAAGAGTTAGGAGGGGCCTCGTCTTGGTGGGTCTATTGGTCTTCATGGGACACGTATATCTGGCCTTTTAAAAAAGTTTTAATTTTGTTCTATGTTTCCCCTCATTCTGTCCAGGACCTGCTGTGATCCTGACCAGAGTCAGCAGTGGTACCCAGGTACCATTGAGTTCTTCTGGGCTCAGGCTAGTGGAGGCTGAAGCCCACTCGGTCCATTAGGCTACAGATTTCCTTCATTCTTCTTTGCACTGGACAGAGTACAACCACAATTCTAAATAAGCCTTTCTAAGTCTCTCAGCAACAAGGATCTGAAAGACCTGCTGGCTTCTGTATAGATGCGTATCTATCTAGTTAAGGAGACATTTCAGAAGTTCGTGGGAAAGCAGAATGAAAGGAAAATGAAAAATCTACAGGCCTTTGAAAAACCCTTTCGTGTACACACACACACACACACACACACACACACCACACACACACCCACACACACACTAAAGGGCTTCTAGTTCTCATCAAAATGCCTTACCTTAAGCAAGTTCAACCCCTCAGGCCCAACTTGAGATGCAGAGTAAATGATGGATAAGTGATGTTTTTAGGAGTTATCAAGTGGCTTCTGCCTCAAAGTGACCCGGTATACAACAGAGCAAAGCCCCCCACCCCCCCACCCCACCCCCCGCACTAGCCCCATAATCATTATATTCACACCCACTGCTGCAGCCTCAATTCATCTCATTGAAGGTCTCCCACATTGTTGCTGTCAAGTTTATTAATAAGTAGTTGACTTGAATTGTGGAAAAGAAGGCTAAGGCTATATGTGAATGACAACGACAACAAAATAAGAAACTTTAAAAATACCTCCAAAAGTGTTTGTCTTAGCTATTAAAACAAACATAAGAAACTAGCTGGTCTGTTCTCTTTCTCCTAAAACTATCCACATTTAAATGACTGTGAGCTTCCTTCTGGGGAGTTTTTTTCTCCTGTAACATGACACTAAAGGAACAAAAAAACAAAACTGAAACAATGCAGAAAGTCCCGGTTCCTCTCTTTCTGGGGAAGTGCATCGCCCTGCATCCATGCAGACAGTCCTGGGAGCTGGTCTGACCTCTCCGCTGGCCATAGAAACACAGAGCGTCCCCTTCACACAGTGAATGACCATTCTAAGAAGCACAGGTCATGGTCAAGGCAATGGTCAGAGCCCCCTGACCCCATCCAGTGGTGACTGATTCCACAGAGAAAAAAGAGAAGAGACACAGACTGCAGGTGGGAAAAGCAACGTGGTCAATCTTCAAGGAGGGCTCGCACCTGTTGTCTGTGTCACTGCTTGAATCATCACTGTGGTTGTGAGGAAAATACTATAAATTGTAGAGTAAGTGTGTCATTTTGGCAAGATTCAAATCAATGAATACTTTCCCAGGCTTATGTTGGGAGATGACCGAGGGCAGTAATAACACATGTAGTTCACAAGCCATGGAAAGTTCTCTTTCCAAAAGCAAGGGAAAGAAAGAGAATTCACAGTACCAGCCGTTCCAGGGACATTGTCTCTTTTACACAGAAAATGGGGGAGCAAAACTGAGTAAACCAATTTTTTAAAAAGAAACTGGGTGATTCAAACCATGTTGGAAACTGTAGTGTCTCTTCATCTGGAATATTCTTCGTTCTTATTAAAATAAAAAGGACTGTGTGCAGAAGTTTCTGTTGTGTGCTGTCACACCCATTCCGGATCACAGTGACTCCATATGACAAAGTAAAACTGCCCCAGAGGGCTTGCTAGGCTGGAATCTATAGAAGCAAATTGCCAGGGCTTTGGGCCCATGGAATAGCTGGTGGGTTGACACTGCCAACCTTTTGGTTAGCAGCCAAGTGCTCAGCCACTGTACTGCCAGGGCTATGTGCACATGTTACTGTTGGGCTGGGTGCTGTCTCATCACTTGTAACTCATGGCAAACTTGTGGATAGCAAAAGAAGGTACTGCCGAATCCTATGCCATCCTCACAACTGTTGCCACATGGGACTTATTGTTGCAGCCACTCTGCCTCTTTTTGGCTGATTCTCTACTTTACCAAGAATGATGTCTCCTTCCTCAAGGGTGGTTCACTTTTGATAACATGTCCAAAGAATGGCAGATGAAACATCCCATCCTTGCTTTCCAGGAATATTCCGGCCGCACTTTTTCCAAGACAGATCTGTTCATTCTTCCGGCGTCCGTGGCACAGTCAATATGCTCCACCAACACAATGGTTCAAAGGCTCAAATTCTTCTCCAGTTTTCCTTGTTCACCTTCCAGCTTTCACATGCTTATGAGGCCATTGAAAAGATGGCCAAGTGAGGTGCACTTTAGTCCTTAGAGTGAGTGACATCTTTGCTTTGTAATATTTTAAAGTGGCCTTTTGCAGGTTTTCCAAATGCCATAAATACACTGTTTGATTTCTTTGTCCACTGACAGTGGGCCCAACTAATATGCGCTCCTTGGCAAGTTCAACCTTTCTCTGTACGTTTGGTACAGTGGTGAGGGCTGGCTCTCTTTAAATGTAGGTGTGCAGATACTCATTACCATTGAGTCAATTCTCACTCATAATGACCTTCTAGGACAGGGTAGAACTATTCTTTTTGGATTTCTAAGGCTACAAATCTTTCTAGAAGCAGAAAAGCCTCTTCTTTCTCCCAAGGAACAGCTAGTGGATTTGAACTGCCAACCTTGCAGTTAGCAGACCAACGTGTAATCCACTACACTACCAGGATTCCTTGAAGTTTACACATACATATATATAAAAGCCAAACACGAAACTTGCTGCCATCAAGCTGATGCCAACTCATAGCGACCCTATTGGGCAGGGTAGAACTTCCCTGTGGGTTCCTAAGACTGCAACTATTTACATATACACACACAATGTTTATTTATGTATTTGAATCTTACCCAAAGTCCACTAAAAACATCTCATTCATAGAGACTAACCACAAGGGGGCGCTTCAACAATGGAAAGAGACCACCAAGCTTACTTTCTTATTATGCTGGGCACAAGCTCTCCAATTTTGGACAGGGAATTCTCATTCCAAGTCCTTTATTTTTCTAGAGCCATAAGCTCGACAGATGCTTCTATCTTAGGGACATCTATCCATATTTTAGATCCTACATCTTTTTAGCTACAGGGTCAATGCACCCAGTGTTTGGTAAATGGCATTCTCAGCAGATGAAAATGATTTGTCACCATGCAAGGTTTCACAGGGGGCATTAGGATGGTGCTTGGAGCCATGTGCAGAGCTTAGGAAAACGTTGCTGGTGAAACAGAGAAACCAGGCTTGCTTCTGTCAACCCCGGCTCCCCTCCCCCCCCACCCAGAGGCCATCACAGCTCAGCACCGACAGCAGTCCTAGCTCCTCGCTATTAAGAAGGAAACGCCATCACCTGTACCTAGAGAGACCTCCTTGATCAACTCAGCAGCAGCATGACAACCCTGCACAAGTATCCTGGTCCAGGTCGACAGATCCCGATGGGTTTCCACCCGGAACAGATGCATTTCAATGCCTTGCCGAGAGCCGGTCCGAGTAGCAAAGGTAAGGTCGGATCCAAGGGAGGGTGATCGGCATCCGGAGCCAGAATGAACCAACCTAGGGGCCACAGAACAGAGAGTACAGGCCATTACTGCCTTCTGAGGAGAGGAACAGCTTAAGAATCTATGCCAATTAATACTAGGATATTATAAACACCACTCAGTTCCCCCACCCCCTTCCAGTTGTATTTGTTTTGTTGTTGTTGAAAATATACACAGCAAAACATACATCAATTCAACAGCTTCTACACGTACAATTAGGTGACCGGGGACATGTTCTCAGTCAAGTGCAGCAATTCTCACCCTCCTTTTCTGGTTGTTCCTCTTCCCTCGTTAACACAACTCAGTAGTCTCTCAGGTTGTTATCTAATCTCCCGTTGCTGTTGTCAATTTGATCCCATATAGAAAGTTTCTAGCTGGAGCCTTGGTGGCTCTGGTTACCTGTTGGGCTGTTAACTGTAAGTTCAGCAGTTTGAAACCACCCAGCCGCTCTGCAGAAGAGAAACAGGGCTTTCTACTCCTGTAAAGGGTCACAGTCTTGGAAGCTCACAGGGACAGTTCTACTCTGTCCTGCAGGGCTGCTATGAGTTGGCATCAACTCAATGACAGCTTGGGATTTTTTGGAGCGACTTCTTTAGAGAGTAAAGTGCTCAAAGCAGACCTCTCCCGTTTCCCTAGGGAAGTCTTTAAAAAGTCTTAAGATGCCTTCAGTGGATATTTGTTGGTTTAACATGTAAAGATTATCTCAGGGTAATTGTTTCAAGATCCATCCACCCTCCGTGGCTTCAGAAGGCCTAGTGAGTCTATGATAATTTGAAAGGTGTCCCCTTTTTGATCAGTATTCTTCTTTGAGATCTTCGATCAAAATGTTCAGTAATGGAAGCCAGGCACTGCCCAGTTGTTCGTGGAGGCAATGAATGAGCCACACATTCCCTATCCTCCTTCTATTCCTGACGACCCTCCTTCTCACTCGTCCCTTGCTCCGGGTGAAGAGAGACCAATTGTTGGTCACTTGAAAGCTTTTCAGACCCCAGGCACTACCCATGAACTAGGAGGCATACCAGAAGCACGGCACATGTTATTAGGATAATTAACTTGCCTGTCCCATGAAACCAGGACCCTAAACCTCCAAACCAAGGAGCCATAATCCATGTGGGGTTTGGCGGTACAAAAGCTGCCTCAGCAACTATGCTGTTTCCTTTCTGTCATCGTTGTCATTGTAAATGTATCCATTACCAAACTTGAGCCAATTCAATTTTTACAGATGTACAACTTACTTTCAACAATTACAAAATGGACCGTGTAACTCTTCCCTTAATCATGATGATTTTATTTTAGTCACCATTAACCACCCCCACCTACCACCATTTTCCCTTCCCACATACCTCTGGTACCACTGATGAACACTAGTTTAGATACATGAGATTTTCCTTGTCTTTTTATACAGGAAGCTATGTGATACTTGCCCTTTTACAATGGCCTTACTCCACTCGGCATGAGGTCTTCAAGCTCCAGTCACACTGTCTGTCTTATTATCAAGACATCATTGCACCCACTGGCTGAGTAGTGCTCCGTTGTATGTATGTCTCACTTGTTTATCCATTCATCTCACCAGCAGCTTACAGATAAGTACATTTCAAAGCACATTTATAGTGTCTGAAGTCCCTGCTACTGTTTTCCTACAAAATGACCTCTGGTGTCCTGGTCAGGCATGACAATAGGCTGGACAGGTCACAGTCCTGGATCCTACTCCTCCCCACTCCCCAGGCTATGCACAGCAACAGAGATAATGTGTTTATTAGAAAATGATATCTGTGAAAAGAGTTGTATGAACCCCTAATAAAATGATTTAAAAAAAAAGAAAATGATATCAGTAAATAGCTCCAGGTTAAAAAAATAAAGCTTCTCTCAGGAACACTGGGTGGGTAAACTGCTCTTCAAACTTTCCAGTCAAAGATCTTCTGGAGCAGAGGCCAGCGAACCCCTGTCCTGGGGATGGAGAAGGCTGAAGCAAGTACAGAGCCAAGGCCGGTACAAACTTGGGCTTTTTCTTTTAAGATGCATGGTGGTTTCATATAAATATTCTACAAGTTCATTATTTATCAAGAAATGTTATGTGGAAAAAATTATTTCAGGAAAAAAACCTACTTTTGCTCTGAGATGAGTTTGGATTTTCTTTATAGAAAATCCCAAAGGACCAACAAAAACAAATCCCTGGAACTACTAAGTGCTTATAACACGGTGATGGGATATATTTTCACATGTGCCAAGTGCTCTCATATATCCCAGCAATGAATAGTTGAAATTTGAAGCTTAAAAAATACAATACTTAAAAATAAAAAAAACCCAGCCAGTCCTGGGGCTTTGGGGCTCGGCTCGAGTCCCTCTGGGAGATGGAGGTACAGTGAGTGGTGTGACCCTTTGCTGGGCATGCCTCCACAGTGGGGTGTGCTGGGGCCCTCTAGGGTTTCCTGTATGGACTCCAATACATTTCTTCCCTTTTGCTTAAAAAACAAACAAACAAACAACCAAAAACTAACAAAAGCAATACTATTTACATTAGTATACATTCATACCAAAACAAAAACCAAATGTTTAGCATAAATCTAACAAAATATGTACAGGATCTGACTGAAGAAAACTGTAAGAGATTTTGATTAAAGATATCAAACAACATCTAAATAAATCAAGAAATATTCAGTAGTCATGAATAGGAAGATTCAATATTGTTAAGATGTCTATTCTTAAGTTGATCTACAGAGTCAATGCACTCCCAATGGTCATCTGAAAAATTATTTAGGAGGCATACACAAATTGTTTCCAGAGTTTACACGGAAAGGAAAATGAGTTAACACAATACTGGAGAAGAATATTGGTGGGCAAGTGCTAGTGTTTACTATACAAATTATAGTAATCAAGACAAGTATGGCAGACTAGACACATTGATTAATGAAACAGAATAGGGAGCCCAGAAGCAAATCCCCTCAAATAATGAGGGAGCTTGAAAAGTTCATGGGGAAATAGAATGAAAAGATCATGGAATTTTTCCATGAATTTTTGAAACACACACACGTAACATGGTTCAAAGGAGCAAGGGCAATTCAGTGTAGAAAGGGTGGCTCCCAACAAATGCTGCTAGAGCAAATGGATAGCCATTTGCTAATATATGTACTGTATATACTTGAGTATAAGCTGACCCCAATATCAGCCAAGGCTCCTAATTGTACCATAAAAACGTGCTGAATAATCCGGCTAGGCCAGAGGATGTACATTGGTAGAGATAGGAACTGGAAACACAGGGAATCCAGGACAGATGATCCCTTCAGGACCAGTGGTAAGAGTTGCGATACAGGGAGGGTGGGGTGGAAACGGGGAACCGATTGCAAGAATCTACATATGATCTCCTCCCTAGGGGATGGACAACAGAAAAGTGGGTGAGGGGAGACGTCAGACAGTGTAAAATATGACAAAATAATAATTTATAAGTTATCAAGGGTTCATGAAGGAGGGGGTAGGGGATAGGGAGGGGGGAAATGAGGAGCTGATGCTAAGGGCTTCAGTAGAGAGAAACTGTTTTGAGAATGATGAGGGCAACGAATGCACAAATGTGCTTTACACAATTGATGTATGTATGGATTGTGATAAGAGTTGTATGAGCCCCTAATAAAATTACTTCTTTAAAAAAAGTGCTGAAAAACTGGGCTTATACACGAGTGTATACGGCATAATAATCTACTTATGCCTTTCAACCTTTCACAAAAATCAACTCCAAATGTAGGTATACATGTAAAATGTAAAACTGTAATATTCTAGAAGCTAACAGGAAAAAAACCCCTATGTGTTTGTGGGTTTGGCAATGAGTCTTCAGCTATACCACCAAAAGCATAAACCATGAAACAAAAAATTCACAAGTTGAACTTCACAGAAAATAAAACTTCTGCTCTGTGAAAGGCAGTGTTAAAAGAGTGAAGATACAAAACCGGAGTCTGGGGGAAAATATTTGCAAAGCACTTATCTGATAAAGGACACCTACCTCAAATACACAAAGAACAATAAGCAACCAACTCAATTATAACAGGGGTAAAAGATAAGAACATGGTAGAGATGTGTGGCTGGGTAGGACTGGGCTCCACATTTTAGTTGTAGATCGCCAGGCCTTTCTCTCAAGGCACCTCCAGGTGGACTTGAACCTCCAACCTTTTCATTAGCAGCTGAACAAACCAACTGGTTATATCACCCAGGCATATTCGTACAATTTAAGTCAGTGACACAAAGTTCCTTGTTCAGAAATACGTAGTATTTTTGGTGATGGGGAAAAAGCACTGCATGTGGGTGTAGTGAACACAGAATGACCAAAATAAATGATGTTCTTGAGAAGCACTCATGAGAAAAAGATGCCCGTACTAAGGAAAGTGACCTATATGGGAGGGCAACAGTCCCAACAAAAACCAAGTGAAGGAGACTAGGGTCACAAATGGAACGGCCTGCAGGGATATGGATAGGTTAAGTTTACACATGTGTGGTAACAGTTAACATGTAAATGCAGATATCTATATATTGAGTACACAACTACTGATAACAAACAAAAACCTTCTGAGATTAGTTTTCTGGAGTTAGTTTAGAGGACCATAGTCTCATAGGGCAACTCAAGTCAACTGGCATAGTTCACACAGTTCATGTACTACATTCTCATGAAATAAGGCGTATCTGGGGTCCTAGGGGCTTATAATCAGTCAGGTAAGAGATGAGGGGGCTTAAAAGGCTTGTGGAAAAGTGGAACTGATATAGAATGCAATTTTTTCATGAACATTTGGAAACTTCCTTGTACAATTATGGGTCTCTACTTGTCAGAAGCAAAAGTGTAAAAAGGTAACCAAAATCTCCTAGAAGAAACAGGTCTTCAAGGCTCACAGTCTACATGAGCAGGACCTCAACTTTGCTGAGACCAGAACTAGACGGCGCCTGACTACCACTGAGACTACCTTGACCAGGTTGCAAGAGATGACCCTAGATAGACTTGGAAAACAATGCAGGAAGAAGCAAACTCTTAAAAAACCC